GTAAAATACATTTGGGAAAGAGTAATCTACAACACAGATACTCAAGCAGTGAGTGGGCGAGGTCTAGCCAGAATGCCGAGCAGGGGAAGGGGTGAGAAAAGTCAGCACTTGCAATGTGATACTGTAGAAAAACAGACCAGCACTAGTTGAGCTACTGTAGACACTGCCCACTCTAGCTTACGCGGAATGAGAGCAGAAAGCCTTCCCATCTAACACTTAAACTCATTGAGATTCCTTAAGATGTATTTGTTGGCATTCCATTAGTTGATATTTGTAAACATTAAACACCAAAGAAATTATTTCAGAGGTTGTACAGTATGAAGGAGATACCACAACTGGTTTCGAAGTAGAGCGAAAAGACAATAGGGGCTCTTCTTCTTGAGGCAAGGTATTTTTTTAAACTCTCCAAATATCTCATTGTAGGGTGATGACCAGGAGGGAAGAGATATCAGATATAGACCTTGTTTCCCTTTTCCTGTCTGATTAGGGAGGGCCTGATGAAAATTCACAAAACCAAGAATAAAGGGTGTCTAAGGATGGTTTAAAAATTGACCATAAATTTGTAAAACCACAAAACCACTTATAATGGTTTATAAAATTAGCCAATGGTAAATACCTAGAAGTTTCTTGGGGGTCTGTAAGTATCTTTGAATATGTCTAGCGGCTCCACCAATAAAGGGGAAATAGTATTCAATTAGAATATCAAAACCTTACCAAGCACTAAATCGATTCTCAAAATACATGCAAGTACAATTTATTACATCATAAGCATATCAGGATAGTCACCAAGTATTAAGGTTATTGTTAAAAACAGTTTTTGTTTAACAATACTATGTTCAAGTCTTGCTTACTAGATAGTACTACTTTATTGAATCCTAGGTAAACTGGCATTAAGTAATAAGATTTCATTTTGAAGTAATAAGTTATTATTAAAGAGTTATAGAGTCTTTTCCAAATTCCAAACACAATGTTAAAGATTTCTATTTAGGGGAGTGAGTCTGTGAGGGGGGCATTGGAAGCTGCTGTTGGAAAAAAAAAATATTTAGGAGTCAATAGAGGAGAGTCATCTGTCATAAACTATAAGAATAAAAGCCAGACATTCAATATTGAACTGTACTTGGCAAAATAATTGACTATATGAAAGTCTCTTTGATACAGTTCTTTATTGGACACTGCATTCTGACACTCTTAGGCTCGGTTTACAAACATTTTGTGAGAGCTTTTGACAAGGCAGATACTGAGTTAAAATTAGAGATATAGAATGATCAAAATATGGTCACTGTCCCAACCCAGACAGGCAAGGGCAGTGAAAGAGATGGGGACAGGGTGCAGTGCGAGAGCCCAAGAGAGAATCGTCAGCCAGGCTGTGGGAGCCAGTGATGGGGAGATGGAGGTCAGGGAAGGGTTGGTTGGAAGAGGTGATACTTTTAAGTTCAGACAAACTGTGAACTTTCATTAAGCACAAATGCAGAACAAAAATTATTTATCATGTTAAGAGCAAATACTAAAACAAAAAATAATACTAATTTTCATCTACTCTGATCAATGAAACAAATGGTTTCAGAGACAGAGACATTTGAGGCTATAATAGAGGCTTGATTATTATTCATACAGATTTTTCTAAGAAATAAAATTCTTGGAATTTTCCCAGACTCTTGCCAAAGCATATTGTTCAAAATCAGATTAAGTTTACCGTACTCTTATCTCCAAAGAAAGTGATAGATTGGATGCTTAATGTAGAATGCTAATTTAGAAATACGTCAGAAGCCAGTCTCCTTGTCTTTCAGAAGTAATTCCATAGAAGTTAGTCAGAGCTTACAGATCAGATGAATTTCCATTTGCATATGCTTTCTGTATACAATCAGTGCATTCTGCAGTTTGCTTACATAAAAACTTTCTCAGTCTCTGCTTCCTTCCATTTGATTTGGTGACAACTCTAGATGTTCACAAAAGTTATGTAATGACTATTGCTACCTGCTCGAATTGCTTTAGGAATAGGTATTTGCAATTCGTTTTCCCTTCATGATGGTCTTAAAAATCCATCCTATTAAAAATGTTTTTTCAAAGTCCTTGACCCCTCCCCAACCGGTAACACATTCAGAAGAAATGCTAGTCAGTTTTCATACAGTGACTCCATGTGTTAGGATGAGCATTGATTCCCAGAACCTTTGCGGTGAAAGGAGCCTTTGATAAATCACTTAGTTAAGTCCCTTCATCTTATCACTGAGGCCTGATGAAGTCAAAGTCAAATGGACTGCCCACATCCAAGCAGCAAGATAACTGTGGGGACAGGATAGAGGGACTTAGTCTCCATTTTCCAAGGTCGGCGTCCCAACACCTTGCACTTTAATGTACATACAAATCTCTTAGGGATCTTGTTAAAATACAGATTCTTATTCAGTAGTTATGAAGTGGGGGCCCAAGATTCTGCATTTCTACAAATAAGATCCCAGGAGAGGGGCGCCTGGGTGGCTCAGATGGTTGGGCGTCTGCCTTCGGCTCAGGTCATGATCCCAGGGTCCTGGGATCGAGCCCCGCATGGGGCTCCCTGCTCCGCGGGAAGCCTGCTTCTCCCTCTTCCTCTGCCTCTCTCTCTCTCTCTGACTCTCATGAATAAATAAATAAAACATTTAATTAAAAAAAAAAAGATCCCAGGAGATGCTGATGCTATTGGTCCATGAACCACACTTTGAATAATAATTTTAGGCTTTACCCTAAGAAAATTTATCTGAGTGAAGGTAAACATTAGCATAAGGGTATTTTGGGTTCAGATATAACTGATAGCTCCAAAAAAGATTGGCACACCTTCAGCAGATCTGGTGTTACTGTACCAAATAGTCTATATCATCTTATGATGGAGATAAACCACCATGCCATAATGTCAGTTTCCTAGGAAACATCATTTTAGAAGTTCATACTAATTAGAAAATTGATTGGGCAAGAGTTTTGATCCACTTCACCCAGTTGTCCTGTGCCTTCTCACTCAACATTGACACCCAAGATGCATAAATGACAATTTTCTAATAAATGCATTCCTTCTCTCAAGGGACTCATGATTCTTCAGCTATATGTTAATTTCCTGATCCTTAAATCAGTGCACTTCTTACCTCAAATGGTTCTCCCCTACCTCCCCTGCTCCCTGCCATACACAAGTGTTCGCGCGCCTTATACCATGTTCATTGCATGGAACAAGTGGATTATTGTGTGATCAATATGAGAATTCTAATTTTTATCAAGAATGCAAACAGGTAAGATGAAATGGTCATTATAGAATATATCCTTAATTCTGGATTACCTGCTTAATTGTAGGGTATGCCAATGTGGATTTGTAGTCCTGGTTCAGAAACAAATAAACAAAGACCCTGTGTATTTCAGAAGTCATTATGTGAAATAAATTCTATGGAAAACAGGTTTCCATGTATTTTCCTCATATATCTGTGAAGACATTCTTATTAAAGCATGTGTAATGACATCTTTATGAAAAATGGCCCAACCTCACAGACTACCATTCTTATTTCTGGATTTCTCTGGGTAGATCTTCCTCTATTCACTGCTGCAAACATATTCTAACCAAAAATAACCAGTTGAATTATATAAAAGTGTTTTGAAGCGTTGAAAAGAGCTATACCAATACAAGATGCTTGTTGTTAAGTTTATTGATAATATGCTAATGATCATAATTACACTTTATGTTTGCACAAGAACTCACGGGACTAAAACTCAAGAAGTGCTAGTATTTTATCTTACATGCCATTCTTCATGAAATAGGAAAATTAGATATACCAAATCACTTGGTAATACTTTTTTGGCATTGAATATGGTTTTAAGGGGAATGAGAAAAATATCACCCTTACATTTGTAAAAATGAATAGTTGTATTCACATTTCTTTGATGCCAAAAAAATAGTGTTTATTCTTATTTACTCTGAGAAGACAGGGTCATGTATAAATCACGAGGTATGTGATGTCACTGCTACATTTTATTAGGTATTTTGCATGATCATTATGGTATAGCTAAACTATTAATAGTAATCACGGCTACGGGTGTTGAGCATCTATAAGTTTATTTCCTTCCTAGAACCTTTTGATGGCCCTCTTTCGTAGAGTATGTTATTGGGTACAATGAATCCAATATGAAACGCTTTTGTTACTGGTATAACAGCAACAAAAAGAGCAGTTAGAAAGGACTTCCAAAGTTAGGCGCATCCCCATTGCATGACCTTATGAACGATATGGGTGAACGTATGTGAGTAAAATGAAAAGTTTATACCATTGAAAGATAGTTTTACCTTAGATGCAAAATGACATCTATTAAGTACAACTATAGAAGAGTAGCCCTTTAAATTTTTAAAAACGTATCTGCCTTTGATTTGGGATCCATGGGTGAAGTGAAATGTGTGCTAATAAATAATCTGCTTTTTTTCTGTCGTGCAGTATTAAAAATGAGACCTAATCTGTAATACCTTTAAAAAAATTGGGAATATAGTTGTTCTTGTCAGTAATTGCTAGAGTATGTAAGCGCTTGACTTCTATGGTAGTTCGATGATTGAACTAACATAAAAGTAGCTATGAATGTACAGAATTGAGCGTATTGAGGACGGAAAGGCTCAGGTTCATTTAAATAATAAAAGATCATGGATGGAACCGTGTTAAGTCCTTATCAAAACCAGCGTTTTAACAAGGTCGGAGTCAGTGCCCAGCGGCAAATAAGGGAAGGTGACTTAGTGGCCCAGGCCTTGCCAGCCCTATTCAACTTTTCAGCCTCCCTTGAGTTAAATTTAAGTCAACTGTTCTTAGGAAGACTGAAGCAAACCACAACAAAAATACATGCCCCGCAGTTGTCGTGGAACTCGGTTTTCTAAATGTGTTCTTTTCCTTTTCTTTATGTTGTTCAGTCACCAGGTCATTGTAGGAATCTCCATATTCCATAGGAGGAAAATTGCCAGTCTGAAAATTCAGTGTCTATAGTGTTCTATTGCTTATCACATTTTTGCCCTCTAGGTGCCAACCTGGATTCACTGGAGCAAGATGTACTGAGAATGTGCCCATGAAAGTCCAAAACCAAGAAAGTATGTTAAAATAATCTGAAATTTGCTTTCTCCCCCAAACTACAGCAACAATTACTACCACTTGGTGCTTTTACAGTTCAGTTGTAACTGATTCCTTTTGTCCTAACAATGGTTTAAGCACTCGGGGTGTAAACTCATTCAGTGTGAGCTTGTTTCACTGTCTGCCAGCCTGGGCCCCAAAGATCATCGCGGTAAATGAGAAGGGCCGGCCGAGATGGCCAGTGAGGCTGGCAACCATGGCAAGCAGGCCAACCAAAAAAAAAAAAAAAAAAAAAATTTCCTTCTAACACCTTTGACCAAAGCTCTCAAATGGAAAACAGACTCGAAGAATACCTCCGACTTCATTGTAGGTGAGTCCCTTTGGAAGAAAGCTGCCCATTAAGATGCTGCCATCTTTCCGTCATGTAGATGCTAGGACCACACTTTGTCCAAATTTTGAATCCTTTGGGGGAAATGCCAGAGTCTGGAAACCATGGTTAGGACAAAGACTCAGTTCCTGAGGGTGAACTCACCAAGTTCAGTCAAATGACACTGAAGGAGCTTCTTTCTAGCATATATTCACCTCTTCTCTTTTTCTCTGTTTTTTCTACCATTGTTTTTTGTTTCTTCTCTCAGGTGCCCAAATGAGTTTACTGGTGATCGCTGCCAAAACTACGTAATGGCCAGCTTCTACAGTACGTCCACTCCCTTTCTGTCTCTGCCTGAGTAGGAGCATGCTCAGTCGGTGCCGCTTTCTTGTTGCTGCATCTCCCCCCAGATCTCACCTAGAGCTAGATGCGTTTCACCAGGTCTAACATTGACTGCCTCTGCCTGTCGCATGAGAACATTAACAAAAAGCGATTGTATTACTTCCTCTGTTCGTGACTAGTTGGCTCTGAGATACTAATAGGTGTGTGAGGCTCCGGATGCTTCTGAAATTGGTACTGAATAATGTGATACAAAATGATAGTCAATATCACACAGTGCAATTATAATAAAGGCATTTAAAAGTCTCACTTTTATTGATAAAATAAAATCATTCCGCTAAACAGTCCATCTTCTTTATAAAAAATGGCAACATCCTGGAAAGGATGCTGCTAAGTTGTAATCAATATGCACTTGAAATGATGGTAAGTTAATTTTGGCTCAGAATGTGTTATTTATAACAAATAAACATACTCAAAAGAGTTCAGATGTTTCTCTTCATTAACAGTTTGCATTTAGGTATTTAAAAATGCACTGACTAGGAAAATTACAAACAAACATTTCACAGCAAATGAGATATCCTGGCTTCTCCTTATGTTGCTTAGGAAACAAGTGATTCAGGACTAGTTTAAACAATCATTTATTTATATTAGCATTCCTTTATGCTAGTTTCAATGATAATTTTAGGGACAAATAGGTTTTTTTAAGATATTTATTACTTACTTTGAAATATAGTAGTTTACCTCTAGATAGATACTTTTAAATGCAGAACTGGGAAATTTTGATGGATCTCTATGACTTTGTGAAGTTTTGAACATCATTCCTAAGCGACCCAGTTCATACGTATATAATTTGCATGGATAACTAAATTATATAATTTGTCCTGCTGTTACAAACTGGGCTATTGCTTTTAATTCTGGAGCTTTCAAAGCATTATGTTTAAGGTGGATTCCATATAGTTATCGACTGAGATCAGAGGTCGACAGATTTTTTTTTTTCCTGTGAAAGATCAGATAGTAAAGCCTTCAGGGTTTGCAGGTGATAACATCACCGGCACAAAGCACTAATTCTGCCAACTCAAAAGCCGCCATAGACAACGCATGAACTGATGAGCATAGATGTGCACTATTAAAAGTTTATTTACGCAACTAATGAATCATTGAACACTATATCAAAAACAGTGGCTAACTGAACATAATAAAAAAAATAATAAAATTGTATTTACAAAAGCAGGCAGTGGGCTGGATTTATCGGCCCCTAATTTGGATTGTCAGTTGCTCAGCCTGAAAAATATTTCACATAGCTTATCGGTGTAAATGCACGTAACACAAGAAACGGTGATGTGAGCCAGTCACTTGGGGACCCTAAAAGAATCAGATTTACCTTTACTTGCATGCATGCAAAGAATAAGATTCTGTTCCTCCTGTTAACACTCATGGAAGAATAAATTTCATGGAAAAATTAATTTCATATGCATTACGGGGAGATCACATGCATAATACTCATTTATTCGTTTATTTAGAGAGGTGGTGCTTTTTGTGTATTTACATAGATGTCATAGGCCATTTTCTGTTGGAAAAAATTAGTAAATTGGCATTTGCTAAATTTTCAAACACAGTCTTCCCTTTATCCACAAGTCTTTAAATAATATACATTTAGTGGACAGAATTTTTCTCCCCATAGCCATAGATTAATCTTTTTAAAGGTAGATAAGATGCAAAGTAAAAATAGAAGTGATAGAATTTTACTCAGTATAGTTAAGCCATTCCTTTTAGAAATCGGTTTGTATTCAAATACCACAGATTTAGCAAATCATATGCCTTTATAAATATGATAGCATTATATTTTAGAATTTCGTGAAAATTCTGAACGTTTATATTATACTTAAATTTTTGGTGTTATGTAGAGTTTCTTTGTGCACTGGAAGCAATGTTAGGACCCTGTCTAGAGAAAAGCATTTAAAGAAATGAAGCTATTTCCCCCAAATAATGGTGCAGTTTAGAGCTGACAGTGGTAACCAGAGAAAATGTCTTCAACTTCTATTTTAGACCATTTTCTTTTTCCTAAGATACCATTTCAAAATAGCTTTTGTGTATTTAATCAGAGTGTGATTCCTTAAATAAATTTTTCAGTAAGCTTTCGATGGCACTTTTGGAAGACATCCAGGACAGCAGCATTCCTATTTACCCTGATGTAACAAAGATTGATAGGAAGCACAGTTATGAACAGAAGCTGTAAATGGCCCGGCATCGATGCCGCCTCAGATCTGGAAACACAAGAGCTGCCATTCAGAAACTGCTTTCCAAAGTTGTCTTGCCCAGAGTTAATTTTCTGACCTCTATGTCTTAAGTTCTCAGTGTTCATTCCTGCAAATCCCTATAGAGAAGGCAGGAAAATAAATTTTGCTGCTTTAAGAACTTTATGTTCAAGTAGCAATGTCGTCTGCGCGAGGAATAAAAAATGTCGCCACGGTGGTAATGATTAAAACTTAATTGTGTTCATACCATCTGAAACACATACATAAATTTTCAAGGAAAAACTATTCCCCAGGTTCGGAAAGAAACATTTTTTCAACTTACCAAACTACATTTTCAATTGAAGAATGACATTCTAAAAGAATGTACAATTCTTAAAATGCTTATTAATGCATAACTTACGTTATTAGGATTTGATGCAGTTTTTCTGATCAGAGTATCCTGTGGTCATTTATTGATTTATAAAAACAGATTTAAAGTATGAAAGAAAAGAACAAATGTATATTTTATAGGGCTTTCTTGAAGGCAGCCATTTGCTTTGAAATTAAACGTATTTGGAATACTTTCTAGGAAAATGTTGTCAAGGTTAGTCAGCTTCAAATTTGACCTATCTTGACACAGAATTCCTACTTTAAAGGACTGTATTCATCATTGTGGGGTATGTTTGTGGTGGGGGGAACTATACAGACAATTCATACCTGATTTGTAGATTTGATGGACAGGAAAAAAGCACTCACAGCTTCAATGATTAGAGGCAATATGGAACAAGTATGTCATATAGAAACTAATATATAATAGGAAGTAGTTATCAAATAGCCCAACTTATAGAATATTCTTAAAGACCACAATTTTAGAACTTTTAAGCATATTCTTAGAATGAGTAAACCCAATAGATATCCTTAAACGTAGTCTTGAATCAGACGTTCCTAGTGCATAAATTACTTGTGTTGATTTCTAAATGCTTTAAAAAACCACTGATGCTATTCAATTATTTATCCAACATGTGTATCTTGCTGACAGTAGAATAAAGGCACAATCCATGACAAATTGTCATAAAGCCCAGCTGAGTGTTAGTGAGACTTTATTGTGTGTGTGTTGGTGAGTGAGCTCATGTGCACATGGAAACTTGGGGGCGAAGAGAAAGTCTCCTATTACATTTCAAAAGGCTCAGTGGCAATACGGATTTGTATATGTGAAAAAAAAAAGTACCTACATTTGTAAAGGTAAGTCAAAAACTAAAAGTCAGACACTAATTTGGTCCCATTTAGCACTGGCATTGACAGACCTCCCTGAGAAGTCTCAGGGCTGCAGTGAGTCAGGACTCTACATATGTCTGTGATATTATTTGCATAAGGAGGCCCAAGCTATTAAAGAGTAAAATCCTGAATGTCTTCAAGTTTTAACAGAAACTACAAAATGCATGTACAGATAAATTTTGGTAAAAGAAAGTTGTCTTATTTTTCTTTTCTCTGATGCGATTGAAAATTTAAATTAACCTACAGGTTAATCAATTTTCTTCAAACAATTATAAAATCCTAAAGCGAAGGATTAGTGAGTCAATATTTAATAGTTTCTGAAGACTCTCAGGTTTAAATTAATTTTTTATATTGCTTACTGCACAGGAGGAAATCACATGTAGAAAAGGAAACTAAATTGTTTACAGTAACCTTTGTGTTTTTGAATTATTAATTTAATTTGAAAAATGTAGTGGCTAGAACAGAAGTTCAATAGGAAGCGTATGATACATAACGAGCCTAAGCCAACATTAGATTAAATAGAACAGATAGAAAGTCATAACCTTTTCATAAAATGAAAATTATTTGTGTATTCTGCTTTTCTTGACTCACAGTGAAAGAAATGTAGCCACCAATAGTAAAAATAAATTAGAGCAGTCTTTGCTCCAGGTTGAGAATGACTGATGCATGTTTCCTCTGCTTGTTTCCTTGTTAGGGCTTATGGCCAGAAGAGATTCCAATTTTAAGTACCAATTTCCCTTTGAATTATTTGAAATTGGAGCTGCCTGATATGAATGACTTCCCATGAAATGAAATTATAGTTAGG